GGGTTGCCACTCTGGCTGGTGAGCACAAGAATCAAGACTTGGGCAAGCATGACAGAAAATGGCACCCACTGGTACATATGCGGGCTGTATAATGGGGCTGACTGGGTTGAGCTGGGCTTCAGTGCATATTGATATGTGTGAGAGCTGAATGGGATGTGGGACAGACTGTATCAGTCTGCTGTACATGCTGGCAAGCACAGGAACCAGGGCAGGGGGCGGTGGGGGTTATTGTCGGTCACTCCAACTAGGCTGCAGCTCCCACTGGTTTGTGAGAGGGCCGAGGGTATGGTGGGCAAGCATCGAGCTGGGCTCCAACACTCATTGGTTCAAGTAGAAGACAGGGCTTGAGATGTGGGGGTGAGAAATTACTGCCACAGGTTCATCCATGGATAAGGCCACTGTACGTGTAAGTGGTTGCAACTGCAACCACCAGCATGTGTATAAGCTGATTGGGGTGATGAACTGTGCTAGACCCTGTACTAGCAAGCACACACAAGGATCTGATGTGGGAAAACCTCAGATGAAGTTTTTGTGAAAATCCCCCCAACTGAATCACTGGACTCAGAACCCCAGCCACAGAGAGAATTGCAGGTTCTATGGTCTGACCGTAGAGTGTATGCGTCAGAGCTGGGCCTCCTCAGAGGCTCAGACAGAGCAGTGGACAGCATATCCAGACGCACATGGAGGATATGGCAGTACATTGGAGCCTAAAGAGGACACCTCGTACCATGACAGAAGACAGAATAAATTGAACCAACTACCCCAGTCAAGTGTTGGCAGTGAATATCTGGGCAAATGGAGATTCTAAGGTGAACTATGTCAGCCAGTGGGTTCTGGAAAGATTTCAATCTGCTTGGAGTGGCAAGATCAGCAGTAATCCAGAACTGTTAGAACTATCAAAACCTTTTGAGCTGCACCCTGGAAGCTCCCCCTACATCGGGGACCCTGGGATGGCACTGGGTGACTGTCCCCATCCCAAGATAAGAAGGCCATTGGGAGGCTGAGTGCAGCTTCTCCCCTTTTTTTCTCTTCCTCTTCCCTTCTCTTCTGTGATTTTGCCTTTCCAATACACAAATCTTAAAGTTATGAAAATTCATGCATTCATCAAAATAACAGCATACAAAGTAAACACAGAAAAACCATTTGATCTTTCTATAAATTAACAATGAAAAAATCTAAGAAACAAATTGCAAAAACAATTTCATTTATGTTAACTTCAAAAAGAGTAAAGAATTCAGAAACTAACTAAATAAAATATTAATACACTGAAGTCTACAAGATATTGATGAAAGAAATTAAGACAAACAAATGGAAATGCATACTGTATTTGTGCATTGGAAGGCTTACTACCATTAAAATGTCAATAATACCCAAAGCAAACTACAGATTCAAAGCAAAATCTAGCAAAACCCCAATGATATTTCTAAAACAAACAGAAAAATCTATTCCAAAATACATATGGAATGTCAAATGATCCAAAGAGCCGAAACAATCTTAGAATTGAGCAAAACTGGAGGACTAGAACTTCAAAACTTCATACAAAGTTACAACAATCCAAAGTATGGCACTAGCATCATGATAGATGCATAGACCAATGGCATAGAAAAAGTGAGAAACAGTCATTAATCAAGGATTTTTGACAAGGGCATCAAGACCATTCAACAGGAAAAACAAAGTCTTCCAACAAACAGTTCAGAAAATGTGATAAGCACACACAAAAGAATAAAGGTCACCTCTTATCATCATTTGTAAAAATGAACTCAAAATGGATCAGAGATGTAAGTACAGGACCTAAAACAATAAAACTCTTAGAACACTCAGAGAAAAACCTTAAAATAATAGATTTGGCAAGGATTTCTTGAGTATGACATCAAAGATGGAAATATATATACAAATATATACTCGATAAATTTACAATTCTTGGGATTGTTTGGTCTAGTGGTTAGGAAACTCCTTTGCACACTTGCTTCCCAAATCAAACTGCCTGGCTCAGGTAGCTGGGTCGGTCCCTACCACCTGCATGGGAGACTGGATTAAGTTCTTGCCTCCCAGTTCGGGCCTGCCCTAGCCCCCAGACATTGTAGGTGGGTGGGATGGGAAGATGTATACTCTCTTTCAAATAAATAGTAAATAAAATTTTGGTTCATCAAAAGACACAATCAAACAGTATAAAAAGGCAATCCACAGGAGAAAATATTTGTAAGTCATGTATCTGATAGGAGAGCAATGTCAGGAATAAATGGAGGACATCAAAAACTCAACAACAAAACCCGATTCAAAACAGACAAAAGAGTTGGACAGATATTTCTCTAAGGAAGATACGTGACAAAAGTACCCAAAAAGACGCTTGGTATCACTGATCATTAGGAAAATGTAAACCAAAAGTGCATCATACCAATCACAATGGATTCTAGCAAAACACATCACATGTGGGTGAGGATACAGAGAAATTAGGAACTCTACACACTGCAGAAGGGAATGTAAAATAGTGCAGCCACTCTGGGACACAATGCAGCTGCTTCCTAAGAAGTGCGAGTGCAATTACCAGATGATTTAGTGACTTATGATCTAGCACTTCCGGCTTTATGTAGATAGCTAAAAGAACCAGAAGCAAAGACAGTTTCAAAGAGAAATTTGTACACCTGTGCTTCCTAGCAGTGTTCCTCACAATAGCTAAAACAAATACAGGAACAGATCAATTGTTTGGCTAGGAATTAAAAGACAAGCAAAATGCAGTATATTCATACAATACAACATGATTCAATGTTACAAAGGGGGAGAAATTCTGCTATACGCTACAGCATGGATGAGCTAGAAGAACATCATGCTAAATGAACTAAGCCAGTCACACCAAGACAAAAACTCTAAGATCCACCTCAGACGGGGTCCTTGGGGTAGTCAAAATCAGAGAAACCAAAGTGGAGCAGGAGGAGCTGTGGGAAGGCAGAATCAGGAGTGTGGGATACAGCGCTTCAGTCGTTAAAGATGAAGAGAGCTCGGACGGCAGTGACGGTTGCACAACATCACTAATGGATTAATACATGCAACTGTATGTACATTTACACATGGGGAAGCTGCTAGGTGGGTGTGTATTCTACCGTACCAGAGAGGAGAGAGAGAAAGACAGAGAGAGAGGAGAGAAGAAAGAGGAGGGGCAGCAAATGAGCACAGGTGAGTTGAGATGGGCAGGTACTGTGAACGCACGCCTCACCTTCATTGGTGGGTACTTATGATAAGGAGCTGCCCCCGTGGCCAGTTCAATGGCTGTGATTCCAAAACTCCAGATATCAGCTTTGAAATCATAACCTCAGACCTGCAAAGACAGAGAAATGTGTCTGATTACTCCTACCAGCCTGAAAGTGCTTTTCTAAAAGACAGTTTCTAAGATACATCAAGAACACTGAAAGTGTTCACAACTTTAATCTATAGCAGTATTAAGGTTATAAAAGCAATGTGAATGCTTTCCAATAATGCAGAAATTATTAACTATAATATTACTCACTTCAAAGAATATTAATTGGAAGCACTGCTTATAAATTCAATATGGACAATATGTGATAAAATATTGACAAAAATGATACTGTTCATATTTTTTTTAATTTAGATCTCTTCAAATATTCTGATTATTATGTTTATTTATTCATGTATTTATTTATTTGACAGAGCGAGAAAGAAACAAACAGCCTCCTCTGGTTCCTTTCCCAACTTCCCCAAGAGCCAGGAGCCTATCAGCCCAATGCCAGAGTCAGTAACGTAAACCAGGCTTCCCACACAGGTGGCAGGGACCACAGCCACCTGCTGCCTCCCAGAGTGCGCGTTAGCAAGAAGCTTAAGGCAGGAAAAGGGCCGAGACTCAAGCTCACGCACTCCAGCATCGGATGCAGGTAACTGAACTGGCATCATACACCACTCCCTGATTTAGACACCACCACAAACAGGTACATACTCCAGTTTAAAAAGATTAGAAAGAACTAAAAAGTTTCATGGTGGTAGTAACTCTTATTTCCCTGATGCTCTATTATGGTATTTTACCACCTTAATCTCTAAAATGAAAAAAGCTACAAAGGGTGTGACTATTTCTATGAAGCTATTAACAGAAAAGTATTGGTACAACCAAACAGTATATGTTTACAGATTTTAATCTTCTTTGCAAAGTCATACAGGAGAAATTGGCTTGGGCATATTAAGACCTAAAATTACAGCTCAATATTATGTGCTGCCCTGCCAGCTGGTAAAATAGGAGGGTACCTAATGCTGTCAGCGTAACTTCTCCCCACTCTGCTCCTGTAGATAAAGTCCTGCAGCCCAGCAAGCCTCTGTCGCACAGACCAGGAGCAGTTCTGTTTATCCCTGTGTTGTCCTCAGTCACAGCACCCAGAGGAGAGTTGGAGGAGGGAGGGAGGGCTCACTGTTTCTCAGTGTAACCTCAGGTGGCCCTGCAGCGTATGCAGTGTCACCCAACCTTGGACTGGGCAGATGTGTGACTGATAAAATGCCGTCAGTCTCATCTGTCTACTGCAGGTGTGGGGTATTTCAGCATCTCCATCATCATTACTGACATAGTGGACACAAGTGATAAAAACAGTGAGAAATGAATTCAAGTCTTCACACCCTGAGTCTGCTACACCACTAAGACATCTATGCAAAGCATCCTTAGAGGACTGGAAATGCAAAGCCCTCCCTGGGTGGTACCTTGGGAAACATCACTGGGTGAACGCAGTTTAGAAACCATCAGCAAGCAGAAGCGCAGGCTGGAGCACTGAGGGAGGCTGGAGGAGGGAAGGGGCAAGGACAGGGTCCTGGGAGGAGTGCCATTCAGGAGTGGGATGGCCAGGAACAGAGAGGCTGCAGGAGGAGACGAGGAGGTAAACGGAGCCAGCAGGGTGAACCACGCGGGTGTGGGCAGTTTTCTCACACACTAAGAGGACAACTGGTCAGAAATAACCAAGAAGCACTGGGTTACTTCTGAGAGCAGGCAGGTTCCTTAATGTGATGGCATGAGCGACACCGAACGACCGCCACCAAGAGAAGGCCATTCCAGAAACAGCAAGGCAAGCTGGATGTGAAACCATGAGGTCATGTAAGCTGTGCTAAGGAAGGTATGACAGCCATCTTGATCACTGTATCCATCAGGCTGTCTCCGGCATGCGTAAATCTTCATATGCCCTCTTTAAGTTCTACAATGCGTTGTTTTCTTTTGTTTTGGTTTTCAGGGTAACGTCTTAACTAAAGAACAGACATGTTTTTCCAAATCAAACAAAAGCAGACACTACCAAGATTTCTCAGTTTTATAACAAAACCTTAGACCATTTTCAAAAGACAAGGAACTCAGTACCTGCTCCATCACCTCAGGGGCCATCCAGCAAGGAGTGCCAACAAAGGTCTTTCTCACTTTGTTTCGCGTCATATCACCACCAGTTGCCAAAAAAGCACTAACTCCGAAGTCTAAAACAGAATACACCATGAAGACATTAAAGCTACTGTTTTAAGAAACAAAGCACAGTCACTGTACCATATGCAAGTAAGATAAACAGCATGCTAATTTCTTTTTTAGCTGAAAGTTTTGATAAATTGAGACATCACTAACAGGTTTCTTACTCCATTCCTTTCCAATACTACTTATCATCATCTCATACTTTACTTGTTGCTACAACTGAATCTACACTCTGCCATCACATTTATTCTTTTTTATTATTATTATTACTGTCGTTCTGACATGGCCTTCACGGCTCAAAAACCCCAACCGAACAAGTTAATCCTTTATGTAGTGGCATTCAAAGAGTGCTAAAGAACCTGACCCAAAATAAATTCAAAACAATCCTACCTTTACATTCTCTTTTTTAAAAGATTTACTTATTTTCATTAGAAAGACAGATTTACAGAGAAGAAAGACAGAAAGATCTTTTTTTTTTCTTTTTTTTAAATTTATTGTTATTGTTATTAACATTGTATTATGTGATACAGTTTTATAGGGACTGGGGATTCTCCCCACCCTTCTCACCTCCCTCCCCCCATAGTGGATTCCTCCACCTTGCTGCATAACAGAAAGATCCTTCTATCAGCTGGTTCACTCCACAAACACCCAAAACAGCCAAACTTCTTCTAGGTCCCGCACTTATCTCAGCTGTTCCACTGCCCACCCAGTGCCCTGGTTGTAGCCTGGGAAAGCAGTCAAGAATGGCCCAAAGCCTTTTGGTTCATCTACTCCATGGAATACTACTCAGCTATTAAAAAAAAACAAAATGCAGTTCTTTGTGGCTAAATGGGCCCAACTGGAAACTATAATGCTAAGGGAAATGAGCGAATCCCAAAAGGTTAGATACCACATGTTTGCCTTGATTTAACCTGTAATTTTTGTTTGGTTGTTTGTTACTTTTTGAACCTGTCATTGATACTGTCTCAACCCAGGTGTTTTGAAGAATTGAACTTGCATTATTTTTAACATATTGCTTACTCAATACTATGCCAATTAATTCCATAACATTGTATATTGATGCTGATGTTTTGTTGGGGCTTTTAACTGACCGGAAGTTTACTCTGTTAGCTCTACCTTCAGACCAGAGAAGGTCTCCCCAAGAAGCCACTGAACTTATCTGGACAATAAGATGCTGGACTTTATGCTAGGTATATGCTTGCAATGAAGGAATCTCAACTGAACTTGAACTGTGGTTATGCAGCAAGGTGGAGGAATCCACTATGGGGGGAGGGTTGTGGGAGGGGTGGGGGGAATCCCAGTGCCTATAAAACTGTATCACATAATACAATGTTAATAACAATTTAAACAAATAAATAAAACTTTAAAAAAAAAAAAAAAAGAAAGAATGGCCCAAAGCCTTGAGGCCCTGTGTCTGTGTGGAGGACTCAGGAGCTCCTGGATTCGGATCAGCTCAGCTCCAGCCACTGTAGCCATTTGGCAGGTAAACCAGTGGGTAGGGGATTTTTCCTCCCTATAAATATGATTTGCCTTTCCAATAGAAACAAATAATCTGTTAAAAATTGTTATTATCTTACCTGAAGGACATGAAGATAAACTACCTTCTAAAAGTCGAATACATAATTTCAGATCTCGGTGGGTTTTCTTTTTCCTGCCAAACCCCTGACCATTCTAAGAGTCTGAGAAGAAGCTGATGTGACTGTAAGCCAGCTCTGGGTGCGGCTGACAGGAGCCTCAACAAGCAGGTGTTTCAGCATTCTTGGCTTCAGACTCCAGCTCTTAGTGCTTCAGTCCTGAAGCTGCCTGGCACTTCATTCTCCCAGGACAGACACCACTCCACATTTCTAAATACAGTGAGGATTCCAGCCAACTATAGAATGATATGAGAACCCCTACAGGAATATTTTAATAAGTCTAAGGGAGTGGACAACTGAGAAGTTAAAAAAAAAAAAAAGAAAAGAAAAAATATAACATAGAAAATAAAGGATGTGGGCCGACATGGTGGCATAGCAAGCTAGAAAACCTCCCCCTGCAGTGCCAACATCTCACACAGGCACCAGTTCAAGTCCCAGCTGCTCTACTTCCACTTCAGTTCCCTGCTTGTGGCTGGGAGAGCAGTGGAGACTGGCCCAAGCCCAGTGGGAGTCCTACAAAAACTTCCTGTCTTCAAACCAGTCCAACTCCAGCCACTGCAGCCATTTGGAGTGTGAACCAACAGCTGTAAGATCTCTCCTCCTCCTCCCTCTCTCCCTCCCTCCCTGAGTGAGTAAGTGTGTGTGTGTGTGTGTGTGTCTATTTCTCTCTGTAATGTTGCCTTTCCAATAAAAATGCAAAGAAGGAAGGGAGGGAGGGAGGAAAGGAGGGAGGGAGATAGGGAGGGAGGGAGGGCAGGCCAAAGAGAAAGAGTCTACAGGATGTGCCGACCTGTGATGTAAGTAGTGGGTTCAAAAAGTCGTTACCTGCAATCTGAACTGATCCATCTTCTCCAAGGAGGATATTCCCAGCTTTCACATCTCTAATTTAAGAGGGAAAAAGTCACATATTAAAAAACACCTCTTACATGAAGTAACATAATTTAGTTGCTTACAATGTTGACAGAATGTTCATAGTACTTAACCCTTTCTTGTTGTTTTAAAAGGTAGTAAGGCCAATAGTTAAAATTATTAAATTTTGGAAGCTTCAAAAGGCCCACAGAAAGATAAAAAAAAATATGTTTGCTTTGGTACAAAAAACTTTGAAATCTATGCACTACCCTATATAAAACATATTTCTATGCACTTCTTGAAGATCATTCATAGTTATGGATTTCAAAATTTTTGCATCAAAATAAACAAAATCCTGGGCCCCCAAGCAGTAGTCTAGAGGCTAAAGTCCTCGCCTTGCACTGGGATCCCATATGGCCATTTCTGTCCTGGCAGCTCCACTTCCCATCCAGCTCCCTGCTTGTGGCCTGGGAAAGCAGCACAGGATGGCCAAAAGCCTTGGGACCCTGCACCTGCGTGGGAGACCCAGAAGAAGCTGTTGGCTCCTGGATTAGCTCAACTCCAGCCATTGCAGCTGCTTGGGGAGTGAATTAGCAGATGGAAGATCTTCCTCTCCGTTTCTCCTCTTCCCTACAGATCCCACTTTGCAATAAAAAAGAAAAAACCCACAATCCCATGTTCTAGGAACTCTTGAAATGCTTTCCATGTTAAAATTCAAATAATAAACAGAAAGCTACCATAAGATACAGCTTTGTCCTATAGTATCTAGAAAAACCCAAATGATTAAATATGTTTAATTAGGATAACAGTAGCCAAAAGAAGTGGTCTTCAATTACTATAACCTAATTCCACATCTTAAAATACACTTTTTTTCTAAAAATTGCCAAATTGTTACCACCTTGCTGCTCCAAAACCCACTCCCCGCCTAACTGATCAAAAAGATTGGCATTTAATGATCTGAGTATCGGTACACACACACACACAGATGGGAGGTGCTCCCATTCACTGGCTAGCTCCCCACAAGCCTGCAACGGCCTACTGGCTTAGACCAGGCAAGGCTCAAAGCCAGGACTGCAATCCACGTTTCCAGTGTGGCTGGCCGGTACTCACTCCTGAAGAGCTGCTACTGCCCGCCACGGTCTGCGTCGGCAGAAAATCCAGCACAGAACTGAGGCACGCTGATTTAAGGTGTATCTTTTTAAATGATTTTTTTTATGATTTATTTATTTTCATTACAAAATCAGATAATACAGAGAGGGTGAGAGACAGAGAGGAAGATCTTCTGTCCAATGATTCGCTCCCCAAGTGACCAAAACAGCCGGTGCCAGTATGGGATCCTGGTATATGCAAGGCAAGGACTTTAGCCACTGAGCCATCGGGCCAAACCTGAGATGTGAGTGTTACCCATGAGGGCAAACCCCTGGTCTCTCCTATTGCATGTTTAAATCATCAGCATGCAGTTGAAATCGGGGCTATGCCAAGTCCAAGAGTGTAAGACAAATAAAATGTATATATTCAGGCCTTTGTATTTTTATTAATTATTTGTAGTAAATCAAGGACTACATATATTCTTGTTTTACAAACCTAAAATAAACATCATTAAAAAGACCTATGACTGGGCCCAGCCTGATAGCCCTAGGAGTTAAGTCCTCTGCTTGCACGTCCTGGGATCCCATATGGGCGCCAGTTCTAATCTCGGCAGCCCCACTTTCCATCCAGCTCCCTGCTTGTGGCCTGGGAAAGCAGTGGAGGCCAGCCCAAAGCCTTAAAACTCTACACCTGTGTGGGAAACCCAGGAGAGGCTCCTGGCTTCAGATTGGCTCAGCTCCAGCCGTTTTGGTCACGTGGGGACTGAACCATCGGACGGAAGATCTTCCTCTCTGTCTCTCCTCCTCTGTATATCTGACTTTATAAGAAAAATAAATAAATCTTTATTTTTAAAAAAAGACCTATGACCATCTTGTTCAAGTTTAGTTTTGTTTCAAATATAATCAATCCAATTCTTCTAATTACTAAAACATGCAACTATGACACAACAAAAATGTCCATTACATTATTCATTTGATTTACAACCTATTTTCTTTTTTTGTTTGTTTGTTTCACAAGCCCGTGAAGAATTTAATAATAGAAAAGAAACTATTTTGAAGAAATAATAAAAACAATATCAAAACCTACGGGTGGCAGCAAAAGCAGCACTGTAAAGGCTACTGATCTTATAACCTGCAGGATGGTTGCTCTGTATCAGGGAGAACACGCGGTATTTGGCCTTTCAATATTAACTTATTCCACTGAGCACAATGGTCTCCAGTTGCGACCACTGCAACCTCTTTTCTTCCAAACAACAACAGTAGTGGCAGTGATGGTGATGACGTCAGTGGCAGGAGCAGTGTCTCAAAAAATCAAAAACTCCTACATGTAGCAAATCTATCTTTTAGACCCTAGAAAAACTCTCCCACTGGGTGCAAGGCGCCCACTGCAGCCCTGTTCCCGGCAGTATGATTCACTAAGAGCAGCAGAGATTAAAGTCAGTTACATCCGTGAAACAGAATGGCCAACCTGCATGTTGTGACAAGAAACGCCCTGGTTAAATAAACAAATCACACAGGAAAGCAATACATTTTATGGGGTACTATTAATGTTAGACACACACACTCCTTCCCACACTCATGTATAACCACTGAAGAGCCAAAGAATAGTTCCTTTTATGGAAACGGATGGAAGCAAAATTAAGCAGAGCAGTATCTGAGTATCTTTCTGGAATATGCTCATGTGCCCATTTTGGAATTTAAATTAAATATAATAAAATAACCCAGGGAAATGGAGGCTAGGCCATGGGAGCAAGGCCTCGGCAGACAGTTCGCCCTCTCTGGTTTTCTTTTCCTCGGCCTACTGGTCACACCAAAGTAACCAGGATTCCAACTGGCACACATATTAGGATTTACAACTAGCACACCTATGATGCCATGATAGACTAGGCTAGCAGAATGTTAAACCGTTACTGATATTAGACACTGGCGTCATACGCAGCAGCTTAACACACGGTGCCACAGCACTGGTCCCAGACTGTTTTAACGGCTTCTGATTAGCTGGATATAAACTGCCCACCAGCCAGGATCAATTGACGGGCGACCCAGATGCAGTCCTGGACTTCCAACCCGGGCCTGGCCCAGCCCTGGCTACTGCAGCCATTTGGGGAGTAAGTCAAGATGGAAGAGCTCTCTCTGTAACTCTGCCTTTCAATAGCAACACCTGTGTGTATGTGTACAAGTATACATGCATGTGTGTGTGTGTGTGTGTATACATGTATGTATGTGTAAAAGGGGGAACTTTACAGTACTGTCAGCATTGTGAAATAATTCCTCTTAAAGACACGGATCACTGGCTTTTACGTTCCTTTTTTATCATGACCTTTTTTATTTTAACTTAAATTCTCTAAAATTGTTTCCAAGTTTAGTATTTTTCAATTAAGTTATGTGAGGCAATTTTCTGATGCAAACAGAATACTCTCTCCGGAGAGTTTATCAGAAAATCACCACAGCTTCTTCCGTCTTTGTCTTGGTCTTTGAGAATGGCCTGCAGCTTCTTTCTTGTGTAATCTGGTGGCCCGAGTTTCTTAAATAAAAGGACTGTTATAGAGTCAACTAAGCACAGCAAAAACATTTTTGAGCTGATGACGTAACGGGTAGTGGAGACAGAGAACTCCAGGAAACAGAAGGCTGGGTGGAGGATTCACTCCAGTATCAGTGGACTAGAATGTGGTTAGCATTAGCTAGCACGGTTCTGAGCTGCTGGGACATTATGAGATCGCCATCCTTATCTTGGAACAACTAGTGGTCAAAGAGTCAAGAACACTGCATTTGAGACGCAGTTTATTTCCATTTTTTGTCTTTTCGAGTATATTCTCCTAGATGAGCCATTTAATGGAGACTAGCAAACCAGGAGAAGACGCGCTCCAGGAGGATATTCTCCTAGATGAGCCATTTAATTGAGACTAGCAAACCAGGAGAAGACACGCTCCAGGAGGTGTCTCTACTGCAGAAGAAAAGGAGGACTTGGGATGAATCAGTTACACGTGCCTTGACACTATGACACTGCATTTTCTAACTTTGCCTATACCTGTGATGTCATGATAGACTGGACTAGCAGAATGTTACATTGTTACTGAAAGACCATTCTTCTGGGCCCAGTGTGACAGCATAACAGCTAAAGTTCTCGCCTTGAATGTGCCAGGATACCATGTGGGTGCTGGTTCTAATCCTGGCCACCCTGCTTCCCATCCAGCTCCCTGCTTATGGTTTGGGACAGAGGTTGAGGACGGCCCAAAGCTTTGGGACCCTGGACCCGCATGGGAGACCCGGAAGAAGCTCCTGGTTCCTGGCTTTGGGTTGGCTCAGCTCCAGCTGTTGCAGCTGCTTGGGGAGTGAACCATTGGATGGAAGATCTTCCTCTTTCTCTTTCTTCCTCTCTGTATGACTGTCTTTCCTATAAAAATAAATAAATCTTTTAAAAAAAAAAAAGACTACACCACTGTAGTTGTATCAGGGAGTTAGAAAGGGGCAGGAGGAATCCCTACGCCTACAAAATCGTAACAGAAAATAACAATGTTAAAAAAGGAGTAAGCGGGCCCGGCGCGGTGGCGCAAGTGGTTAAGGTCCTCGCCTTGCACGCCCGGGATCCCATATGGGCGCTGGTTCTAATCCCGGCAGCCCCGCTTCCCTTCCAGCTCCCTGCCTGTGGCCCGGGAAAGCAGTCGAGGACGGCCCAAGGCTTTGGGACCCTGCACCTGCGTGGGAGACCTGGAAGAGGCTCCTGGCTTCGGATCGGCATAGTATCGGCCCGTTGCGCTCACTTGGGGAGTGAATCATCGGATGGAAGATCTTCCTCTCTGTCTCTCCTCTCTGTATATCCGCCTTTCCAATGAGAAAATAATAAAAATAAATCTTTAAAAAAAAAAAAAAAAAAGGAGTAAGCAAAAAGTTTATTTTACTTAGAAAGTTAGATTTACAAAGAGAAAGAGATATCTTCCACTGGTTCACTCCTCAAATGCCTGCAACAGCCAAAGCTGAGTCGGTCAGAAACTATGAGCCCAAAGCTCCTTCCAGGTCTCCCAAGCGGGTGCTTGGGCCCAAGGCCTTGGACCATCTTCTGCTGATTTCCCAGACCATAACCAGGAGGCTGGATTGGAAGGCAGGCAACGAGGACATAAAACAGAACCATAT